CCAGCTGACCCCGATGACCTCCAATGAGCTCTGTGATGACCCCAAGTTGACCTTTTTGACCTGGCCTGTCCCAGATGACCTCCGTGACATCCTATTGAGCTCTCTGATGACTCCAAGCTGACCTCTGTGACCTGACGTGTCCCAGATGACCCCCATGACCTCCAATAGAGCTATGTGATGACCCCAACATGACCTTTGTGACCTGACGTGTCCCAGATGACCTCCGTGACCTCCAATTGAGCTCTCTGATGACTCCAAGCTGACCTCTGTGACCTGACGTGTCCCAGATGACCTCCATTTGAGCTCTGTGATGACCCAACTTGACCTCTGTGACCTGGCGTGTCCCATATGACCTCTGTAACCTCTAAGTGACCTCTATGATGACCCCAAGCTAACCTCTGTGACCTGACGTGTCCCAGATGACCCTCATGACCTCCAATAGAGCTCTGTGATGACCCCAAGTTGACCTCTGTTACCTGACGTGTCCCAGATGACCTCCGTGACCTCCAATTGAGCTCTCTAGTGACTCCAAGCTGACCTCTGTGACCTGACGTGTCCCATATGACCTCCAATTGAGCTCTCTGATGACCTTTAGTTGACCTCTGTGACCTGACGTATCCCATATGACCTCTGTGACCTCTAAGTGACCTCTCTGATGGCACCAAGCTGACCTCTGTGACCTGACGTGTCCCAGATGGCCCCAATGACCTTCAATTGAGCTCTGTGATGACCCCAAGTTGACCTCTGTGACTTGATGTGTCCCAGATGACCTCCGTGACCTCCAATTGAGCTCTGTGATGACCCTAGGTTGACCTCTGTGACTTGACGTGCCCCCAAGTTGCCCTCTGTGACCTGACGTGTCTCAGATTACCTCCGTGGTCTCTAATTGAGCTCTGTGATGACCCCAAGTTGACCTCTGTGACCTGACGTGTCCCAGATGACCTCTGTAACCTCCAATTGTGACCTCCATCTACAAATTTCTTACCTCTCTGTGACCTCAAACTCTCGGAACTCATTTCTTCTAAAGCATCGATTCTAGATGCCCTATAGCCACGAATCTCCTGTGATCGATCCCAAATTTTATGGCAAATCACGTGAGCGTTAGCAACCACAAGTCACCCAGTTAATACAAAGCTTCAGAATCAGAGAACATGCTTGACCTTGCTGTCTCATAAGCTCGCAAACCAGAAAGGCGAATGTTCCTTTATGCGTGATAGAGTTTTCGACCTTACTGACGTTTACTACGGGATCAGCTGATCGTGTAGCCTTTTAAATTCTCGAGTAAAGCGGGTATTTAAGCCTCGTCGCAGCTACGTTCTGTCGTATCCTCCGACAAACCCCTCTTTCCTCAACATCCCTCCTTTTTCGCTACGACACAACTTGCGACGGGACATGTGTCGTAACTTGCGACGTGTCGTAGATGGACTTGCGACGCCCTGGATCCCCCCGGCCTTAGGTATCTTTAGGAACAAAAGCTGCTGGTCATAAATTACTGAAAAAGACCAGCGAGCTTTTCAAATTCGATATCCGGTCATATCTCCTAAATATTTGCCTTAAATAGCAACATTACGAAACTGTAAGGGGCAGGAGCAGCCAATACCCGGGGGGAGGCTCCTGGCCGTTCACGTTATGAATACGTAGCTGGACCGGCGAGGATTAAAAACTAGCGTGGATTGAACCTTCACACACATTTTCATTTATTCGCAGATAGATAGGTGATGCAACATCGCTGCGTCGCACACATAAATATCTGTTTAACCCGTTTAACCCGTGTTTAACCCGTCACCGGGCCACACGGCCTCACCAATGTTTCGTATCACTCAAGCCTAACTACATATCTGCACCTGCATACCTGCACCTCTGAAATCATTGCAAATATCTTCTGTACCGTGTTCCTCAGGGTTGCTCGTCAGCGATCCTCTCCTCGCCGTGTCTTCGTCCCCTGCTGACTCGCAGCAGCTCGGCCCGGTCGGTCGCTCGTCTAGGAGTGGCCCGGTGCGCTCAGCCCGTCGGCCCGGCGCTCCGCTCGCCCCGTCGGCCCGCTCGGCCCGTCGGCGCCGTTGAGGCCGGCTGTGTCGGCTGCCTCGACCAGCTCCGGTAAACAAACGGGCCAACTGTTTGGAGCGCAGCGCGGCCTCCCGGCGCCCGACGACGCTGACCGTGACCGCACCTGGCCCGCCGGCCACGGCACGGCACGGCATGGCGCGGTGCGGACGTAGCTGGCCACGGCCGTGCCATGCTACGGCCATGCACGGCTACGGCTCATGCATCACCGATCGACTGAGAGCGCGGCTCCGCTGCACCGGCGCGGCTGTCTGTGCCACGATCGTGGCTGGGCTCCAGCACGTCAGTAGGCTACAGCTGATTCGCCATGTCACCAAGGAATTGCCACTGGTGCAGTGCAGTTGATTCGAGAGGTCGGCACGGTGAGAGCACGGATTGACGGATCCATGGCTGGCCTCGATCATGATACAGTTTTGGTTACGGTAGTATCGTTACAACTATGACTACGGCTTGGCACGGCCACCGCCACGGGCATGCAGCTCTTCTGCACGTTTGTGACACAGTGCTGGCTGGCATCCTGTCTGACAGGTTCAGGATGTGATAAGATGTGTTTGTTGAACGCCGTAATGGAGCAGGAGCAGTTCTTATGATACGCATATGGCCAAAGAATGCGGTGATTTGTGAAATTACCATGTGGCTTCATAACTTCCGTAGTTTCTCTGAGAGATTCTGACCTTACTTGAATATGACATAAACTTTTCTCCTGACTCTAACTGACTCCTCTCCGACTCCTATACAAATCAAGGTCTTGATATCAGCTGATGGCTCACACCGTGGTGCGTTCTGGTGGCACTGGGGGGGGGGATTGTTTGTATGTACATTTTCCACGGGGACCACATCCTCTGTAAGCTCACTGCCACGCCCATGACCCGTGCCGGAGCCCGTCTTTGTTTGGTCGACCGATAAACATCCTCGGACCGGCAGACGCACAGATTCCAGCTGCAGCCGCGTTCCAGAAGCTTGGAATCCCTTCGCCGTTAGTCATCATCTCCCTCACGATGACCTTCGGGTGATGAGTGACAACCTATGGGTGCTACCAGATGCAATGGTCGGGAATTCTTTGGTCGAAGATTTTCGATTGCTCTGGAATTAAGTTCGTAGATACATCGGAATTCAACTATCGAAGAACAATCAGCTTTGCTTGAGTCGCCTCTCAAACAAAAAATCGCTAAACGGATATGACCTCAAGTTCTTGCTTCGGTTGTCAGTTTGAATGATATCCGTGCTCTACTCGTATCATGTGAAGTGAAGAAGCAATCTTTTGTACATTTATACTCGTGATCGTCTGCCATGGAACAAAGGCGTATCTGAAAACCTCGGCGGGTGAAGCTCACTCGTGAGACCGTGTCACCGTGTGACAAATGTGTTCATTTTCCGGCCGGCCGCCGCGGCCAAGCGGTGTCTGATTGTGTCGGCAGTAGCCCGGCCGTTCGGGCCGGGTGTTGTTTTTCCGCCTCCACCTTCACCTGTTGCCGCCGAGAGTAACTGACAAACTGTGGGTGGAGCTAACGGGCCGGAACGCCTCACTGCACGCCACTTAATCAGCCAGCCTCGGATACCTCCGAGCAAACAACGGATTCCACCTGCACCGGCCGACTGCTGAAAATGTCACAGGGTCGAACGGCAGATGTCCGATATCCTAAAGTAAAGGTGGTAGTTTTTTTTGGAATTTCCTACATTATACTAGCGTCTCTATCTGTAGTGAAAGCTAATAAAGTTAATGAGCTTGTCGATCTGGTCATTTTTGAATGTGCTGTCGTGTGACGTTAGTTTTGAATTTGACCTATAAATCAGCAATTCAGTCTCCAAGAATTGAAGTCACCGATCTTAAGAAATCACATTGAATTGGCGAATGATATGTATTATATCTCAGGGAAGAACGTCATCAAAGAACCATGTAGTTAATGTAAGGTCGTCTTCCTGTGAAACCGAGAGCGTGACTTGTCTCAACTTTTAACACGATCCCCCACAAGTTAGCCCACTTATGTCGAAGTATCGAACCAAGCGCGGTGAGCTGATTATTCTTGCATGCTTTCTGGGGCCGCTGTCGCGTCGTGAGAATACTGTATCAACTCGATTCGGCGGAACGTCGCACCAATTATGTTCCTCTTGCCCTCGACATGTCAGGAGCTGATGTTATATTCACCGGTCCCGCTGGTCGTCGGGAGGCCTCAGAATTTTTCGTCCTACCTTCCTTCAATTGGGTGACGAAGTTAGCTGGATGAAACGTGAGGAGGTTTTACTAACATTGTGAGACTGAGCTGACATATGGAAAACCTGAGAGCCGGCTGTCTCAGCATGCAGTAAGTTTCATTGGTGAATGCTCCAGCACGCTATATTTTGCTAAATCGTAATTTAACTGTGATCCACTAATCTGACTCAATCGAAGTGGTGAACCGGACTGGAGGGACCTTTTTATCGGTTCGAGAAAAGCTAACTCATGTTCATCTTCAAGTTAGAACCAAACCATTTCATTGACACGGCAAGCCGTATTTGTCGTAGACTCTGAGTTTCCAATAGAGACATTCCTTATGTGTGTGCTATTCTGTTTCTTTTTCCCTTTTGCTCGTTCGTGCCAGTGCACTGCTCGATATTACATATGTGACGCCCGCAACAGGCGGAGTTCCGGTGACATATGACAGCGGCTGTCAGATATGGCGGTCATTACGGTGACAGCTCTCCGGTAACCCATCTGTCATCCGCCGCAGGGCCCGTCCTGTGGCGGCACACCCACGGCTGATGGTGCCCAGCCCCTCCGCCTGATAAGGTCAGGAGTGCGCAGACCTGGTGCCCTACCTTTTTACATCGCCACCGGGAGACTCGAACGACAGCGCGGCGGAAAACAAATCTCGTGGAGTCACCCTTCAACGAAGTTTCTAGCAGCATCACTCAATTGACTCTCCTTACTGTTCTGTCGACAGACAATCGGTCAAGAAGCGGACGCAGTCGCAGCGGTCGGTGCGCCGGCGGCTCCCGTGCAGTGGTGAGACGCTCTATCGCCGCGGGGCGGCCATGACCCCGGCTCTGACCCCGCCGCGTGCTGGCGGTCCGGTCACCACCCGCGCCTCAGGTAGGTCAGAATGGCGAGCGCTCACCACCGGGTGGGTCGTCTGAGGCTTATCTAAGCGTAGTGTGGAATGGATGTTGCTTGAAGTTATTCCTTTGTTTGAGATGGGCGAGTAGGTCGATTCAAAATGTACATACACTTTATGTATATGCACCTTACATTCGCTAACCGATTGTCAATGAACAAGCTAATGAATCATGAGCATATTGATTGTTGAATATCATCTGGACGTATGTTGTCCATTGCTATCTATTGTGGATATAATAAAAAAGCGCCTTAGAGCATGATGCTGTTACTGAAAAGCAATGCATCTTCAACTAGACTGCTAATGCTCCTCGAGCCAGATACCGCTGAAATCCATTGAACCCAGAGGCAGTCGGCCTGTGACGGCGATTGATTGTCGTTAGACGTCATGTGACCTTTGCTCACAGTATGGTTAGCTGTACCATAGGTATATTGCAAATAAAGGTCACGATCAAACTAAACGACAGTCGTCCCTGCGTAAAGCTGTCGCAATAGATATGTTCGTAAATCAAGCATCTAGAGCAAGAAATGATACAATTCGTTCTCCTATAATGTTCATTACGTTTGCTCGGATAGCGCGACCCTGAACGCTGACCAATCAGCGTCTGAGCGCAAATACAGCTGACCAATCACCGTCCTTTTGTTGCATTATCTCTTCTTCCGCTACGCTTAGCCTACCACAAACATTTCCCATGACCCCAGCGAGCGATTGGTGCAAGGTTTGAGATGTTTTTTATGAAAATCTTGAAAGACTACTAGGAAGTTTATGCACAAGTCAGCCACAATGAGCCTTTCTGTCTTTGCCGAAGGTCTATGCATAATTCATGCATGGTATTCCATTATCAAGATGACGTGACCCATGGCGCTGCATTTGTGAGTGTCATTAGTCTCATACAATGGCGTCTCTCGGCATAGGCGAGGTCGGGCATTGTGATTGAATATGTTCCGGCCAGAGTGTGAATATAACCAAACGAAAACTTTTTATGGAAATATAATGTGTTTTATTGAAGTCTCTGGCCGAAATAACAGCATTGCAAAAGTTGGTAGGTGTATTGTTACCGGTTATGGTTCCTTCCATTTTCTTTTTTTATGGAATCAAGATTAAGGCATGCTTTTGCACTTTATGCTGCTTACCATACAAAGCATACATAATGTAAGTATCGTGAAACTAAGTACCAACTTAATGTCAAACCATGCAGACTTGTGCAGTATACAGCGTTTTTAAATTACTATGGAAGACTGATGTAAATTGTTCGGCTGCTTTTGGGCTGGTCTGTAGCCGACGAGAAAAGGCGTGCGCTTGTTTACCAGAAGTTCCAGCGTTGCTGCAGCTGGACAGACTGTTCGCCGTCACAAATCACAATTGGTGGTCTGGAAACCGTTCCACATTCTGCCATGCAGTCCCCGGGTGTGCTGGGAAAAATTCTGAGGCCAGCTACATTGCGGCTTTATTGTGGACAATGTAATTTACCACTGAAACACACTGCAATCGGCATTTTAAGCCGGGAAGATGATGAATGATGTAGTTTCTAGACCAATAACAGCACTCGACAGCATTCTATCAATAAGTGCTTCGGCAAACAAATGATGGTAAACACGGCTATGTATGGGAATGGTGGCGAATGGTAACCATTCGGACAATCACAGCAACACTCAGTCAGTTAAGTCTATTGGAACGGCTACTCACAATGAATGGATTGAGTCACTGACCTTTTCAAAGTCAACGGTGGGTGTCGATAAAAACCTGCTTTCTGCTGGAAACGTTTTCTGATCAATTCCACTATGATATGCATATGAGCACGTCGTTATGCAAAAAAAAAAAATATATATATATATATATATATATATATATATATATATATATATATATATATATATATATATATATATATATATATATATATATATATATATATATATATATATATATATATATATATATATATTTGTATATTTTGCCTTGGTTGAACCTGTCCATGCAGTCGCAGTCGTACATACCAATAACCAAATGCTTCAAATGTCAACACAATAGATTTATGATCTATCTTTATATATACCTGCCATTTATTACTTGCTGACTTTTTAGTTGGTTGGGCCTTTTTCCTTCTGACACTCTCGGTACTTTTTAAGTTTTTCCTTGCGATAACGCTTCACTGTGCTCTGTTTATCGACTTCCTCTGCCGTTTTTGGAGTGCCAGTCGGCTGTGCCGTGCTGCAAATCGGACCAGCAGGCAGCCACCGAGGTCGGCTATCGGATTTCAATAGGACCTGGTGCGATTAGCTGGCTATTGGTGAACGGTGCAAGCAGAAAATCGATACCTTCTCCCGTCCCGACCCTGACGGGCCAGGCTTGGCAATGGAAAGCCAATACCCAAGATAAAAATGGCGCGTGTGTGTGTATGGGGGGGGGGGGTGTTCGTTCTATTTGTTTGTGTTTGTGTTTGTGTTAAGGCAAACATATGTTTACATGTTGAAGGCATATGAGTATGTTCTTAGATGTCTGGGGATAGTGATTACGGAATACCATCAAGGACCTGGTACTAATTACTCGTCCTCTAATAATGAAAGAACTTTTTACGTCAGCATGGTCCACTTGAAGACAGTTTTCTGATCCTGCAAGAACTACCCTGATCGGAGTGTGATGAACGTGCACCAGACAGTTGCTTAGGTACATACTACATGCTTACCAAAGTTCATAAACTTGGCGCAGGTGTGATAAGAACTTGTACCCGGCGGCCAACAAACAGACTCCAGGGTGATGATGGAGTACAGACACCTCAAAGATGGGCCTAGACGTGAGATAAACACTGCAGAGATGTGCTTAGATGTAACACTAATAATATATATTCTCCGCATGTGTGATAAGTAAGTAAAATACCTATTTATTAGCGAACCGGTAATGCAATATGCATGAATTGATTCATGAAGCTTATGGTCGATATGACTGAGGATTGATTGATTGCACTGGGAACTCCTTGAGGTAGTGAAGCTAGATGCTGATGCATTGCTTTGCATATTCGCACCCGATTACAGTATCGAAACAAATGTTCTAACTCCGTGAAAAACTCTAGCGTGAGTAAAAAAAAAACATGATAAGCTACAAATCATACCGTAATTCACTCACTCCAGATGACACCTTTTAGCTCCTCATGATAGTCCCTGTTGGCGTTTGTTGATCACTTTGTGTCGCAATTTAAACGTTAAGTTGAAAAGTATCCCGATCCAAATGTCCTGAATCGTCCCACAGGTAATATCCGTTCAGTCGGATTTCTGAAACAAACCCGTCTAGTTAATGAGTTAATCATCTTAGTAACCTAATGCCGTTGAGCTTCAAAGCGAACTAAGGCTCAACTTCAAAGCTTCGAGCTAATCAGAACACACTGCTTATATACTTTCAATGTGTTGATGTCCGGAATTGATTTCTTGATCATTCATGTATCTGTCATGCCAACATCTGCAACAATCCATGCTCAATTGCCTTATAAGGTGTACTACATAATTCCCTACTGAAATAAAAAAAAAACTGTTTTGTTAACTGTGAAGTTACTCTGAGCGCTAATTAGGACCGTCAAAACAAATTTTGCCTTTGCATGTTATTAACATTTTGGAATATAAGTTATGGAACGTGTATCCACTAAACTCTATTTCTACTGGTGAAATACATCGCCTGTAATTGTGACATTTAAATATTGAGCCATCAGCTGCGAACACGCGCTGGCCGACTCAGCTCTCACTGACTGAGTTGGATTCGTCGTAGGCTGCGTTTATGATGAAAGACGACGCTATCCATTACAGGCCGCATTTCAGCTAACGTTCGCCGAATGGTGAACGGCTCATTGAACTGGCGCAGTGGTGGCCAAAGACCGACACGGTCAGCGTTGTGGCGAACGTGGCGCACTTCTGCGGAAAATCAATATGGCGCCGGTGGGCCTGCCGGCGAATCGCGGCTGGTCCGACACAGAGAGTCGCCGGGGCGCCGCTGAATCCCAACTCGGCTATCTCCGGGGAGGCCAGTGAGCTCGCCCGGTCGAAACAAAAGGTCGTTCCGAGAGGGCAAAGGGCACCAGCGGTGACTGCGGCCCTGCTGGCACGCGGCATTACGACCATTTGTCCTCGGGTAATTAGATTGACAGCATGGAGTTGGCAGACGTCTGATGCATGTAATACGTTTTATGGTTTAGTGCAGTTGGAGCTGGAGTTTTATATGAGTTTTAGGGGCACAATTCGATTTCAGGTGTCCCTATTTCATGGCATTTCAATTCCCCGTAACTTGAGATGAAAGCCGCTAAACGACATATCGATGCATGTAAATACTGTCTCTGGCTGCCTCCGCGAACAACCTCCAATGTCATAAACCGAGCCCCGACCGTTCAGCGTCATATGGATCCCAATAACATCGCAGATCGATTGTTGATGCGCTGTGGTTCAGAGCGGTACGGGAACATTTCAGAAAATGACTTCTTCGCTGTCTGCTCGTAATGTTTGATTTCAATGGAATGGCAATACAGCCTCATTTCCATGTATGTGCAGATGCATTTGCTCGTGGCTAAGTAGGCTGATATTTTGGGTTAATTGGTTTTACCGCTAGAGCTAAAGAATATTTCAACTTTCAAATTGCTAGCGGAATACAATCCCAATTTGCAAAGGGCAAAACTGCATTTAGCACGAGAGTGACATCCTACACGTGGACTACATGGCATGTGTGAAAAGTGCATGCCATAGGTTTGCTCGGTATGTTTTGCTGATAATTGTGATGTGTGAATAAAATATGCTGGCAAATCCATCATTGGCATTACACGTCAGCAATATTCGTGCTTCAAATTTTAGACAAGAAGCAACCTCTAAATTATGCATGCTTTCCCTGTTTTCTCTTATTTTGCACTTGGAGTCAATCAATCTATTGACGTGGGCACTGAAATCAAGAAGCAACCTCTAAATTATGCATGCTTTCCCTGTTTTCTCTTATTTTGCACTTGGAG